TTGAGAATATTAATGATGCATCTTTTTGATCTTTCTGAAATATAAACAAGGGAGTCAGAGCCGTACCCTTGAGATTATAACATAGAACCTATAAAAAATTGAAGTGGAGTTTTCAAGATTTTACCTGGAAATCTCCTTACTCAAATGCAGCAATTATTAGTGTCATCTTTCCATTCTCCACATTACTAAAATGACAGCATTGGCAATGTGTTTGCTCTCACAACACAAGAGTGAAATATTTTCCCATCTAATGAGAATTTTCTCCTTTATCCCTTTAGCCTTCGTAACAATTTCCTCAAAGCTTTGCAAGCTGCTACCTCGTGCCTGGTTCCAAGGTCAATGGCACATTTTTCTTATAGAAGTGCCAAATGCCAAGTGCCAATGTCTCGGCTTGGCACAGAATCAGGAGCCACCACACAGCTTTGTAGGTTCAACCAGCAATTCTTTATTCCGGATCTCACACCAGCCTCCACACACGTTCAGGGGCAGTATCCCAAGGACCAGGATACTTCCTCAAACCTGTAGGATACTTCCTCAAACCTGGATCCACCCTCGATCACCTTGAGCAGGGTCATCTTACTAAAGCATACATGCAATGTCCCATCGAATGTCCTCTAAGCAGCATGGGGTACGCTGGCAAGGAGATTTTGATGGTCATACCTACTTGGTAATGGCCCTCAGCATAGAAGCACCCATCTCCAGTTACCTAATTCTATTTCAGTTACTGCTACATAACCAACCATCCCCAAACTCTAATGACTAAAAATACATTATATTAAATTTCATATGTTCTATGTTAATATATTTTGGCAGGGTTCTATTAGGCTCTTTCTACATGATGTCAAAGAAGTAACTCAGTGGTATTTAGCTGGGGGAAAGCTGGAAGAAAATAATCTGCCACCATAAAAGAAATCTTGCTTTTGTGATGATAATAGCACTTGCAGTAAGCAGTAAATTTTGTACATCATGCTGAGTTACTTTGAGAGCTCTGGTCCTGAATGAAAATTAGGGTGATCTCAGTTTTTATTTTTCTTGCCCTTGTATGACAGCATTGAGAAAACCACTTAATTTACTCTCTGTGTTCTCATAAGTTAAAAAAAAATTTCCTGTCATGGAAGTATTCAAGCACAAATAGCAAGCTAATTTTACAAAGAAAAAACTATATCAGATTCAGAAATAGGCCAAAACAAAACTATAATSTAGAAATATAATGATTATAAGTATTTCTGAAAGTTTTAGCATAAACATTGTGCTAAATGTGCTCTAGAATTTACATTCAATAAAATATTAAAATCTTCAAGTTTTACAGACTCAAAGAGAAGATAAAACTTTCAGGTTTCCAAGTATTTGGATGAAAATAAAAATGAAAATTTAAAAATTTATATATTACCTATGATGGTACCATACATTTAAATGCCTTTAAATACCTATGCACAATCTCATGTAAATATATTACCATTAAAATAAATAGTACTATCTGTCCAAGAAGTTAGAAACTTATTACATTTTCCTTTTAATTACAGTTTTAGTAGACTATTTCAGGGTAATTAACAGTGAACTGGGTTTTTTAAAGTGGTCACTATAATTTGTTCAGAAGCAGCACACCTTTTATCTGTTATTCTCAAGCATGTTCCTAAATGAGGTTGAAACATTCAATAATAATTTCCAAAAAAAAGTTAGTTCCTCTACAGCTTTACAKTGCAGCCTCCATACAGCTTCCTGGCTAATCTCCAAAATCAATAAACAGCTAGTTAAAAAATTATCTGAATTGCTCAAGAAGAAAAAACATCATTCCCAAATCAATTTTGTCATGGACAAAACTTTTCCAAAATGAAATATTTTTCTTTTTAATTTTCAACTTTTAAAATTTCTTAATAAATGATATATGTATCACATAAACACTCATGAATTAAAATTTCCAAAGGAAAATGGTGATTCAAATTTCTGAAAATTTCAATACTAGTTAATATTAAAAATCAATAGCAAGCTGCAGTGTTGAGAACAACATGGAAATACTCAAAATAAATATTAGAATAATTTTATTTCCATATTAAATTTTACTACTGAGGACAAATAGAAAAACAAACCAATAAAAATCCCTTGCCAACAGATCTATTCCTTTGTTCATATTCACTAAACCTTTTCTTTACACCTAATAAAAAGCTGATGCATCAACAGAACACTAAAGGTGTAGAGAGAAATGTGAACATTACACCAATATTTTAATAATATGCATGTATATAGCTAGAAATCTAGGTATCTTTAGATTGAAAACACTTGAAAAACAAGAAACTTGGTTTGCATAATGTGTTTGTATTGGCAAAAATCTGATGTTAAAAATCTTATGTTACATATATTCAAAATAAATTCTTTTTAGTTAGTGCTATTATCCATCCTTTAAAGTTCTGGAAAATATGCCCATGGACTACATTTACACTTTTACAAGTTCTTAACACTGGAATGTAAGGATTGGGCTATGTTCTTCACTCTTTACTACTTTTATTTTTCAATTTTAAATTTATGCAGAGGTTACTGAATGAAAATGTAAAGAGTATTATTTCATTGATTCAACATGCTTTATGCTCTAACCAATACTTTCTACTTTTATGTTTCCGGGATTTTTATATAATTAGATTTTTTATTTTTATTTTATTTAATTTTAAAAATCATTCTGCCCTTTCAAAAGAGAATAAACATATAAATAATGAAGAAATCAGAGGGAAATCTAGAATAACCTTTATGTGCCTACAAATAGTTCTTATAAAATARCATTCTTCCCTGTTGACTTAGAAACTGAGAATTGAAAGGCATTTTCCCAATGGGYCATTATTTCAAAATCAGTGGCCCCAGACGACCACCCTCCCTGTGGCAGTTATCTAGAGCAGATGGTACAGCAACATGGGGGATATTATAGAGATAATGTTTGAAGCAATTATCTCACCATTGAGTATTACTGTTCTGTTCTTTGTGATACAGAGGGGCCCATGTTGTGCAGTGCTACAGAATTGGAAAATCTTATAAAACTAAAGCAGTAAGATATTAGGGAGTCAGAACTTTGTTCTTATTTCTTTGGCAAAGATAAGTTATTTTCTTATCATTTTTRAATTAGCAAGAATCTTTGATTAGGACTCCTTAAAAGAGGAAGAAATCGGAGTTATTTTTCCAGTTGACTATGAATTGTGATTTTTTTCTTAAATGTTCTACCCTCTCCAATTACTCTTTTAAAAATCTACTGTTAGAAACATATTCAAAAATTGACAATGATAATATATCCAAATCAACTCAAAAAGACATGTMTTAGTTTCCTATTGATGCTGCTACAAATTGCCAAAAATTTAGTGGTGTTTATATTCCTTCTTGAAATGGTCAATCAGGCAGAGCCACAAGACAAGACAAAACTCTGCTCCATAATTACTTTGGAAAATACATCGGGCACTTAGTAAGCACAGGAAAATCTTTTCAAGTATGTAGACTTAGTGGCAGTTATTGTATAGTGGTCTCAGTGCACAAACAGTGATCAAGGGAATATAGAGACTTGCAACATTTAGTATAGACTGAATTTGAGTAAACTATAAGATAATCAATCTGCTTGGTCTGATATTGTGGAAGAATCCTTTGTGATTGTTTGGTTACTATGGTTTTGATAACCTATAATTTGGTGTTTAAGAAATAAGAAAATAAATAAAAATAATTGTTTTTCAGGTTTCTTTATATATATCCAGCCTCAGTATTTTTCAAGAAAACAAAGCTTTCTTAAATATTTGCTTTAATCACAAKTATAATGAAGTCTCTTATTTACTTGCTTATTTMAAAAATCTAAGGACAAAATTACATTTATAAAACTATATTGATATTTATTTTCATATACTRCATATGCACAAATACTACATATATGCCCAGCTGTCACTTTCTCATTTTATACATTAGTCCAGAAGTTATAACCAGGAATTTGACTGAAATCATTGACTCTYTTCCTTTAAAAGTTTTCTGTGTGGGCTGGGGATGTGGCTCAAGCGGTAGCAYGCTCGCCTTGCATGCGTGTGGCCCTGGTTCGATCCTCAGCACCACATACAAAGATGTTGTATCMGCCGAAAGCTTAAAAAAATAAATAAAAAATTCTCTCTCTCTCTCTCTCTCTCTCTCTCTYTTTAAAAAAAAAGTTTTCTGTGAAAGGTATAATTGGAAAATCTCATTAGCCAAATTATCTTAAAGGATCATTGGCAATTAACCTTTGTTATTCTTTTATTATTCAAAAGTCACCTTTTTCCTCAAATTACTTACATGCATAGAACTTGCTATATTAAACATGAGAAAATGTGTCTTCATTGTAAAGAAGTATGTATGGTCATTTTTGTAAACCAGATAGCTTTCAAGCAAATATCATTAAATGTACCATATTCTGGATGCTGTTGGATACCTACTAAAAGAAATGACTCAAAAAAATAAATGCATTTGTGAAAATATTTTATCCAAGTGTCTAAGAGCAATCCAATATTTCATTCTTATAAACCAGGAGAGTAAAATATGAATGGAACAGCAAAAGATAAACATGATGAACTATAGTGTTCTGTCATCCTTCCTTACAGGTACACAGGTCACCAAAGAAATGGGCAAAAGGTCAGAAGCAGGATTACTCTTTTAGTTGTAAAAAATGAGTACTKTAGCACATGGAAAGCCCCAAAGAATGTCAGTGGCTTCTGTTATAATTTAGAGAAACCCAAAGAACAGCACATACAATTCAATTCTAAACTTTAAAAAAAAAAAAAAAGACTTTATTTTTTAGAGAAGTTTTAGGTTCCAGTAAAAATCAGAGAAAAATACAGACATTTCCATAAACTCTCTGACTCCACAAATGCACAGCCTCTTCCAATATCTACATGCTCCACCTGAGTGGTAAATTTGTTAGCACTGATGAACCCACACTGATGCAATGGATTTTTCTAAACTTTTTAAAGAAGGGTGTCTTTCTCTTTCTCTCTCCCCCACCACACATCCCTCAGGATTACAGAGTGAATATCTTTCTTCGTCAAAAATGGAATGATCCTCGTCTTGCATACAGTGAATATCCTGATGATTCTTTAGACCTCGACCCATCCATGTTGGACTCCATTTGGAAGCCTGATTTGTTCTTTGCCAATGAAAAGGGTGCCAATTTTCATGAAGTCACAACAGACAACAAATTGCTAAGAATTTTCAAAAATGGAAATGTTCTTTACTCGATAAGGTGAGTCATAGACTTAAATTCCTACTTTCAGTAAAATGGAGTACTGTGAGGTTTTTCTTAATTTCTAGTGACAATATTTAAAGTTTTGAGTAGCTCACCACTGTTCCACTTGAGTTCTTCTAATATAACTTTTTCCAAAGTGTTTGATGAACAACAACAAATCCATGTCAAAGATCCAGTAATTATATGAGTACTTCTTGGAAATTCATTTTTTTAAGAACTGACATTTGTAATTCTTAACATCAATGAGTTTTCCAGGAKTCTTACAGGTGAACTGAAAGGTAGCTGAGTCATACAATGTGATTAAATATATTCCACCTCCATTAAATATTTACACGCAAAGAAATGTTTAGGCTGGATTCTCTGGGATTTTTTTTTTTTAGGTGTGTGCATTTTTCGATACCCTGGAATTTCTCTGGTCATTCTTTTGCATATTAACCCTCATTGTCCAATTTTCATCCTAACATGTTGCAAAGTGGTAATCTGTTGACAAAATTTAAAGAAATCAGGAAAGAAAAAAATTACTATAGTACGTAAAAATGAATAATGAACAAAATGTTTATCATCATCCCTAGAAAAAATCTTATTTATATTTTAGGTATTMGTTATACATTGCTAGAGAGCCATATAACAGTTAGAAAGCCATACCAAAATATAATGATAATTAGTCATAAAATTTCTTGAAATTTGGATTCTAGAACTCATTCAACTTTGGCAGTTCATAGAATACCAAATAGGTACGAATTCAGTAAATAACTAAATTAGCTGCTTATAGTACTTGATGATTTGCACTATATTTAAAATATTTTCTAAAAATCATTATTGTGGAAATCTACAGCTATTTGTTTACTTAATTCAATTATAAAACGCAAGCCAGGAACAGAGTTGATGTCATCTTTCTTAAGAGAGAGAATATGATCTATTTTAGCAATAGGCAACTGTTTCAATATTTATGCCACCAATAACATTTTTTAAAAGTTATCAAGATAGGTTTAATATTTAGAATCTAGGCTTAAAATTAACTCCTTATATTTTACCTCTCTTATTTACACTTTTGTTAGATTAGCTTTTCATCAGGAATGGGAATATGTGATTAGGACTTTATTTACCCAATATCAAGGATGTTCCTATTTTTGCCAAGTAAAAGTATAAGATAAAGTAATAAGAATGCAAATTTAATCTTAGTRGCTTAGTGATTGTGAAAGCCTTTCTTGACGCAAGGTGGTGTTATTGATAATGTTTTATTCTCTCTGCTTTTCATCTCTTCATCTCATTATGGCTACTTTTCCAATTTTCCTATTTCATATGAACATATTTCCTTTTAATACATATATTGTTTCGAAAGAGTGACAGGGTGACATCACTCTACAGCAAACTGACACTTTTCATCAGACTGATGAAAACCAACCAATATGTGTTAATATAATTTTGGATGATAATTGCTACACATGACACAAAGAGATTCAGGTACCATCACTAATTAAGACACATACTCACATATGAATGAATAACTTAATAGTGAATACCATATCTAGGCAAGAGAATCATGAATCTTTTTGGAAACCTACCAAAAACTGTAAATGTTAAAAGATAGCAAGACTTTGGTTTCTGGGAAAGTGGAACAGATATACTTTTTCATATTTTACCTATGTTCAACTAAAATCTTGGGCACAGTACATACAACAAACTTAAGAAATTTCTCAATGGTGGRCCAAGAACTGGCAGACATTGGAACCTGAGGAACCATGCAGAGGTGAATTCCTTCAATTTTCTTTTTACCTCATAAAGATGAAGAATCTGATGATCTGGAAACATTAGCAGGTACAGACAAAATAAGTTCCAGCAATAGCTAAGTTATGGAACCAACCTAGGTGCCCTTCAATAGATGAACGGATAAAGAAAATGTGGTACATATACACTATGGAATATTACTCAGCCATAAATAAGAATGGAATGATGGCATTTGCTGGTAAATGGATGGAATTGGAGACTAAGTGAAATAAGCCAATTTCAAATAAACCAAAGGCCAAATGTTTTCTCTGATATGCAGATGCTGACTCACAATAGGCAGCAGGGGAGGGAGGAGTGGAGGTTCATCAGATTGGACAAGGGGGGAATGGGGAAAAGGAATGGAATGGGAAAGACAGTAGAATGAATCAGATATAACTTCCCTATGTTCATATATGAATACAACCAGTGTAATYCCATATCATGTACAACCACAAGAATGGAAATCATACTCCATGTATGTATGATATGACAAAATACATTTTACTGTCATGTATAACTAAAAAGAACAAATCTAAAAATAGGGGGAAAAATAGGTCCCAGCAAGAACCTAATTTCTCTAGTCAATCTAACACTAGATGCTACGAAAGGGGGATCCTAGCCTACCTTTACAAAACTGTTCTACTCTAGCCAGATATAGCAGAAAAACATGTGAGCTTGTCTCAAACTCACACCTAAGCCAGCAAAGTTTATTTCAGTCTTTCTAGGATGTAAAGAGGTACCCCAATGTCTGCGCTGAGGTGGTGTCAGGGAAGGGCAAATAGCTGGACTTTCATGCCCCATCAACCTGTACTGACCCTCCACTCTGTGTCAGTAGAGACCACATTGAGAACTACTGTCTCCCTACAGAAATAAGACCCCCTCTACCTCCATTCCTGCCTGGGAAGTTTCAGAGAAATCTAATAGAAAGTCAGGACTTTCAAACCACACAGCAGTAATACTGCCACTCCCACTACAGTGTCAATGAAGGTCATGTGGGCAACTGGTACATCCAGWAGTGATCCAGGATCTTCTCCACTCACATGACAATACAGAAGCTGATTAGAAAACCTTGACCTCTGTTTCTCCCTGGAAATATTAGCGTAGCAGTACCTCCCCTTGCCCTGATCCAGAAGTGTCAGAGAAAGCCAGTTCAAAGAGAAAATTTAAATAAGATCCAGAGTTTAACAAAGTAGCACAAAAATGTCTAGGCTGCAATAAAAAAAAAAATCATCATACAAAGAAACAAAAAGGTCTCAAGCTAAATGAAAAAAAAAACATAAATTGATGCCAACATCAAAATGACAGTGATGTCAAATATCTGAAAAAGACTTCAAAGTAGTCCTGATAAAAATATTTTAATGAGCAATTATAAATATGCTTGATACAAATGAAAAAAATAGAAAGCCTTAGCAAAAAAAACATAAGCTATAAATTAGAACCAAATGAAAATCCGGAACCTAAAAATAATTTATCAAAATAAACTCAGTATATGTGCTCAATAGAAAAACAGATAAGAGAGAGGGAAGAATCAGTGAACCAAAAGATAAATAAAAAATATTCAATTTGAACAACAGAAATAATAGACCAGACAAGGGGGCAGAGAGTAACAAAAGATCTAACATTAATATCATCAAAATCTCAGGTTGACAGGGCAAACGACATGGAACTAAAAAAAAATTAGGGGAAATAATGACTGAATTTTTTATAAATAATGCAAATTGCATAAAACCTACAGATTGAAGAATCTGAGTCCCCAAAGAGGATAAACCCAAAGATATCCATACAAAGATACATAGTATACAATTTCTGAAAACATTCAGAGCATAATGATGCCTTACCCATACAGGAAAAACAGAATGATAGCAGAYTTTTCATCAAAAATCCTGGGGACAAAAAGAAATGATACATATTTTTCAGGTGCTGAGAGAAAGGAATTCTTATTCCATAATCTTGTGCTCAATGAAAATATCCTTCAGGAATGAAGGTGAAATCAAGACCTTGTTGGAAAAAAAAAAAGCAAGAGAATTTATCATAAGTAAAGCTACTCTAAGAGCAATGTATGGCTAAGAAAGTTTTCTTAATAGAAAAAAAATGAATGAAAGAACATAGCAATACCAAAAAGGAAGAAAAAATACTGTAAACAAAATGTGGGTAAACACAATAAATTTTCTTCTCATATTGATTTTTCTAAATTATGTTTGACAGTTGAAACAAAAATTGTAACACTAATATAGGGGAGAAATCAAAGTAAAAATGAGAAAATATTTATATAAAAATATTGGTAGAAATTAATTCTGGTTATATTTGTCTTCTATACTTTCTGTGGGCATATGACTTGATATTAACTGGGAAATGATGTATTTATATAGAAATCAAATTCATCTATCTTTTGACAATTCTATTTCTAGTAATCCAAATTGGATGTTCATTCCTATAAGATACACTTACAAAGATGCCCACTGAAGCACTAAAACAGCAACAACAAACGAAGAGCCTATTTAGTCATTAATAAGAACAWGGCTGGCCAGGTGCAGTGGCGCAAGACTTTAATCCTAGCTGCTCARGAGTCTGAGGCAGGAAGAGTTCAAGAGTTCAAGAGTTCAAAGCCAGCCTCAGCAAAAACAAGGTGCTAAGCATCTYAGTGAGACCCTATCTCTAAATAAAATATAAAATAGGGCTCGCAGTTGGGACTGGGGCTCAGTGGTAGAGCACTTGTCTTGCACATATGAGGCCCGGGGTTCCATCCTCAGCACCACATAAGAATAAGTAAACAAAATAAAGATATTGTGTCCATGTATAACTAAAAATATTTAAAAATAGTGGTCAAGTTCCTCTGAGTTCAATTCCCAGTATCCAAAAAATAAATAAATAARAATATGGCTGAACACAATGATAGACCTAGATCAAGAAATACTCTACATGAGACTGCTATACAAATATTCCTAAGAAATTGCCTAAAGTGTAAATAAATAGAAAGGTCCATAGAGCAGAGGAAAGGGTATAGGAGGAGGAGGGGGATTAGGGGACTTAATTGAAGCAAATTTTATACCATGCATTTATAATTATGTCAAAATGAATCCTATTAGTATGTATAACTGTTATAAACCAATAAAAATGAATAAAATAGAAATTGCTTACAAGACATACATACACACACACGTATGTTTCAAAGAAATGTTTTATGCTCATTTTTATCTATATTCTCTATTTATAAAAATATACCTATGTAT